TTTTCTCATTAGGTCAAGTATGGCTTAATAATTTTTATTCCTCAATATTATTCTTATTTTTTTCTAAAAAATCACGCGTGGGATTTCAATTGGTTTCTCGCTGAATATTGCGTAACCTCCCTTCGTTAATAAGAGCAATTTTTTTAGGCAATCTGACTTGTAAACGCACATAAAAATCTCCCCGCCTAGGATTATTAATTCCCACATAGCAACCTTTTCCTGGCAAGATTACATAATCGCCGTATTGGCTACCAGCCGGTATGGTAAGTTTAGTTAAATCTTTTAGCACTCCATCCACCAGGTGAGTTTCCAGAGTAATTACTTCAACAGTGCCTCCCAAAATGGCGTCCAAAAAGGAAACTGGCAAATCAACATAAATATTATTGTCCTTGCGTTTAAAATAAGGGTTTTCTTTGACCTTAACTGAGACATAAATATCACCACGGGAACCACCGTATCAACCATCATTGCCGATGCCCTGATAGCGAAGTTTTTTGTCCGGCTGAATGCCACTAGGAATATTAAGTTCAATAGTTTCTTTCTGGGTCAGAAATTTTTTCCCCCCGCATTCTCGACATTTTTTTTTGATTATTTTTCCCTCTCCTTGACAACGAGCACAAGTGTCTTGGGTGCGAATAGTTCCCAAAATCGTTCTTTGAATAGTATTGACTACTCCTCGTCCTTGACAGACTGGGCAATCTCCAATATCACTACGAGAAGCAGCTCCCGTTTGCTGACAGACGCCACAAGCCCTTTCTAGCAGCAGAGTCACTTTTTTTTTCACCCCCAGCACTGATTCTTTGAAAGTCAAAGTAATGCTGATTAAAATATCACTTCCGGCCTGCGGTCGGGTTCGGTCGGCATAGGTGCGGGAGTGAGAGTAATCGGCCTCACCAAAAAAGGTATTAAAAATGTCCTTAAAAAAATCTCCGCTACGGTCAAAACCACCTTCTGGTGGTCCTTGAAAGCCTTCTGCGCTGCCGTAGCGGTCGTAATTCTGCCGTTTTTCGGGATTACTTAAAACTCCGTAAGCCTCATTGATTTCCTGCATTTTGGCTTCGGCTTGTTTCTTTTCCGTTTCCGACTTGTTGGCTCAGCGGTCGGGGTGTCATTTCAAAGTCAATTTGCGATAAGCAGATTTTATCTCTGCCTCGGAAGCACTTTCGGACACTCCGAGAATTTTGTAATATTTTTTCTTGGTCATGAAAGAACTAGAATTAAGCTAGTTTTAATAAATTAATTAAGATTTATAGACAGAAAATCTGTTGGAACCTCACATCAGTTGCTCCAAAATCTTGAACTAGGCAGATTGGGGGATGCCTGACCCCATGGCATTAAGCCTTTACTATGATTAACCTTTTGTGGTTAACATAATACTATTTTTTTTCTTTGTCATCCTTTTCAGGCTGAACATCCAAAGTGTCTTCTTCCGAGTCAGAAGCAGAACCCTCTTCCTCTTTATTTTCTTGAGCAGGCATTTTGCCAGTTAATTCATTTGCTAATTTCATCATCTCTTCGATATTATTCAATTGTTTTTTAATAACCGGATAATCTTTTTTGTCGGTAGCCTCTTTTAATTCTTGATACAATTCCACCAATTTTTTGAAGCCTTCATCATTCTCATTGAAATCCTTATGTTTTTTAAATTCTTCAATTCTCTCTTCAAAAGTGTGACAATATGTTTGAGCCCGATTGAGTAATTCCGCATTACTTTTATATTCTTCGTCTTTCTCCCGATTTTCTTCGGCTTCTTTAATCATTCTCTGAATTTCTGCTTCACTTAAATTTTGGCTGTCGCTGATAGTAATTTCGGCTTTCTTATTAGTTGCTTTATCCTGTGCGGTCACATTAACTATTCCATTAACGTCAATATTGAAAGTAACTTCAATTTGGGGAACGCCCCTTGGCTTTGGTGCAATACCACTCAATTCAAACGTTCCGACTATTTTATTATCGGAAGCACGAGGTCTTTCTCCTTGGAGAACGCGAATATGAACGCTCGGTTGGTTATCCTCGGCCGTGGAGTAAATTTTGGTTTTAGAAGTAGGAATAGCGGTGTTGCGGGGAATGATTATGTCGTTAATTCCTTCTTCACCTCTGGCCGATTGGACCTCAATACCCAGAGAAAGCGAAGTAACGTCTGAAAGCACGATATCTTTGCCAAAATCACCAGCCAGAACTGCACCTTGAATGGCAGCTCCAACTGCTACCACTTCGTCCGGATTGACGGATTTATTAATTTTTTTCTGGCCGAATTTTGCTTCGAGTAATGTTTCTACCATTGGCATACGGGTTGAACCACCCACCAAAATTATTTGGTCGATAGTCAAACTTCGGCCTAATTTCTTTTCAGCTGCTTGAATGGCTTGATTGACTTCTTTCATGGTCCTTTCCATATAATCTTTGGTTAGGGCTTCAAATTTGGCCCGGGTAATTTTTGCTTCCACGTGGGGTGATCTGCCTCTGGTCGGTGGAATAATGTAAGGTAGAGAAATCGTAGCTTCTGAACTATTTGATAATACTTTTTTGGCTTTTTCGGCTTCCTCTTTTAACCGCTGTTTAACCACCTTTCTATCATTTTCGGTTTCTCCTTCAGACAATAAATCAACCTTTCGCTCTTTCTTCATTTCCTGAACCACATAATCAACTATTTTTTGGTCGAAATCGTCTCCTCCTAAATCTCGAATGCCAGCCGTAGCAATGGTTTCAAAAACATCGCCTTCGCTGCTCTTAGAAATTTGGAGAATGGAAACATCAAAAGTTCCTCCTCCCAAGTCATAAACCAGGATAGTCTGTTCTTTTTCTGCTTTATCTAAACCATAAGCCAGGGCTGCAGCTGTGGGCTCATTAATGATTCTTTCCACGGTCAAGCCGGCAATTTTTCCCGCATCTTTGGTGGCTTGACGCTGACTATCGTTAAAATAAGCCGGCACAGTGATAACCGCCCGAGTGATTTTTTTTCCTAATTTGTCCTCGGCACAACTTACCAAATAACGCAAAATTTCCGCCGAAATTTGTTCCGGAGTATACTCTTTTCCGCCCAACTTTTTTTTGACTTTTTGCCCCATTACACTTTTGATAGAAGTAATAACCTCGGGGTTGATTTCGGCCTGTTTTTTGGCGTCCCTACCTACCAGAATTCTTCCCTCGCGGGAATCATAGCAGACTACGGACGGAGTGGTGCGTTCGCCTTGTGGATTCTCTAATACACGCGGCTTCTGACCTTCCATAATAACGATACAAGAATTAGTTGTTCCTAAGTCGATACCTACAATTTGTTTGCTGACGTCTTTATTCATATTATTAATTTTAACAATATATTAATCTACATTTACACGAGACAGAACCGGCTAGAAAAAGCATCTTCTCGCTTTTAAAATTTTAAAAAAAATATTCATATTTAGATATAATAATTATAAAATACAATATATACAAAAATTAAAAAAATTAAAATTACATATGGCCATAATAGAAAAACCAGTTAAACGAACGACATACCACAAAGTTAAAAAAAATAAACAAAAATTAGAAACAACCAGCCACGAGGCTAACCAGGCAGCAAACGCTTTAATTAATGAAAATGCGGACCTAAAAAAACAAACAACCGCTCAAAAAGAAGAAATTGACCAAAAAACCACCGAAATCAGCCGGTTAAGAGCCGAAAATAAGAAATTAGCAAATAGAAGAAAAGATTCCGGTTATGAAGAAGACGAAGAAGAAATAATTAACAGGATTATTGCTGAAAAGGCCAAATTTGAAGCCCAAATTAAGGAATTAGAAAAACGACCAACGGCCGAACAACTGGCCGAAGCCGAGAAGAAAATGTTCGATGCTAATGAGGCCAACACCAAACTCCAAAATCAAATTGCCAGCCTAAAAAAAGATTACAAGCAAGCCCAGAAAAGTTTTGATAATAAATTAAAAACCCAAGAGGAGTCATTTGAAGAAGAGAAAGGGGAAATTGTTGCTAATTTAATTAAACAGACAGAGGAAACATGGCAGAGAGAGAGAGAGAG